TTTTTTAAAATCTAATGTGTGGATCACATAATATTTCAAAAATTTTAACTTTTGAGTATAGATGATCCGCACTGTAACACCAATTTGTGTAATTCTTTCGCGTTTAAACACTCGCTTCGTGAAACTCTTTCACGTTCAACACTTCAAGGATATTCTCATCTAATTTGTTTTTAGATTTCAAAAACTTATAAATAGGAAAGTAATTCATGTAAATTTGAAAATTCAAATAAAAATTCTTATATATAATATTAAAAAATAGCTATAATTCTTTCCTGTTACTATATACTAATCATTATTAATATAAAAAATGCATAGAAAAAATGAAAATTGTGGTCCCTGCACAATTATTAATTGCAAAAATACTGTGTATATTTTCAACAAAATAATCATTAAAATTCACTAATGAATTTTCTAATAATTTAGCAAATGGATGATTATTGTCCTTCCAATAAAAGTAGTCAGACAAGAATGCAAGTGGAAGTTTATTGTAGTTTTTTCTATTCCATCGTAAGAAAAATGTCCAAATACGAAAGATAGTTTGGAGATATTGATCAAAGGCTCCAGATCGAAAAAGGATTGTGTATATATCTAAAGTAGCTGGTATTATATTGTCCAATAGATCAATCATCATTCTATATTCTACATCTTTTGTTTTTTCAAATTTTTCTAATATATCTTTTGAAATTTTCAACTATGCATCATGAGTCAATTGGAGAAGAAGATTAATGCGCCACGGTTTAGGTTTTTGTGCAAATTTTTTCTTTTCAAGTACAGTGCAAAATAGTTTTTTGAAGAAATCATAATGTATATGAATAACATTTTCTCTTGAATTTAAAGAAACATGCAGTGGACCCAACATTGGAACAAAATTCTGAATACCTTCAAAACTACTTAATTGATTATTCATATACAACGTAATAGCCTTTCTAATAAAAAGTTGTCCTGGAAAATCAGCTATTACTGGTATTACATAAATTTTAGTAAACTCTAATAATCCATCTATATTTGTTATCATTTTAATTTCTAATAAATAATCTTTTAAGGAACGAAGACTTTGTTGTTTTATATCAATTAATTTTACTGATTCCATAGATCTTTCTTCTTTTTTTCCTTCAATATCTGCATCATATATATGAATAGTTAAAACTTCAACACGATCAAAATTTCTACTATCAATAATTCTATCTTTAACCCATTGTATTTTTATATTATTATAACTTATATCAAAGATTCCTTTATAATCATTAATAAGTTTTGAGTTTATTAATGAATAGTCAATATTATTTGGATTGAAAATAGGCACATTATTAAAATTAGCAGGAACTGCCCAAACATTGTCAATTCTTTTTGCAACACATGTTTCCATATGTACTGCAGAAGATAGTGTTGTGGAATCAGGTCTTCTCCATTCATGGATGGAATGAAAATCATCAATATTAAAACAATGCATATATGGAAGATAATTGGTAAAATATGTTTCAACTTTTTTTTGATGATTTTCTGCAATGTTTTTTTTATAATTCTGAATAGTTTTGTAACAAGCAGAAAGGTTAGCATTTGATAATGTATCAAGTGCAGCAGCATTGGTTCCATTTTCTTATAAATAAAGCCCAAGGTCTAATTTAAAATTATTCACAAATTTGTTTCTTATTCCAGCTAAAAGATAACAAAAACCTACAATAGATTTTTTGGCTGATTCTTTATTCAGATATGTTCTTTCTTCAGGGATTATTTTTGTTAGTTCATTAAAAAATCCTTTCAACTTTGGTTCTTTATCTTCAATTAATTTACAAAAATTTATAGGATCTAATTCAATATCTTCATTTGATTTACGTTGTTGTTGGAAAAGTATATTGGTCAATAATTCAATTTTATCTGCAAAAGTTAAGGAGCCTATAATAAAAAAATCAATTAATAAACAATTAATTAAACAATTAATAAATAATTAATCAGTTAATAAATAATTAATCAATTAATAAAAATAATCATTTTAATACTTTTTTCCAAGTTGTTCTGAATTGTTAAAAAAATATTATTTATGTTAAATATATTTTCAATTTCTTTATTTTTTTCAACCTTTGCTTCCAAATTTTCAATTTTTTGAACCAGTAAGCTAAAATCTTCTTCAGATAAAAGAATTCCATTTTCTGTAATATTAATTTTAATGTCATCCAAAGAATATTCACCAGATAATTCATTTTTATTCACTTCTTTATATTTATGTTCTACATATTTCATATAATGTGTAAAACAAAGTTGTTGATTTTTTTTTAAGTAATTTATACTTAAATAATCTGGATGCTTCATTAACTTATCGAATGCTTTATCAGTTATACTTCTAAAAGTAACATACTCGGGACTTTTTTCATTTTCTTTACAATTTTCAACTGCACAAGGACCAGTATATTTATTTTTACGCATCATTTTTATTAAATAATCAAAGTTTAGTTAAAATAGAGAATAATATAAGTAGTAGTATAATGAATAATAGTGAATAGTAAGTATAATGAATAATAGTGAATAGTAAGTATAATAATAATGGTTTTGATTTTATTTAACTAGCCAGGAAAAGAGTTTTTAATATTAAGAATAAAAAGAAATTTGATTATATTTTTTATATTTTTTTTAATTTTACATAAATTTTTACAGAATTCCTTCTTTTTTATACCTATATCGAAGCCAACAACAGTTAACAGTTAAAGGTTGTGTCTAAAAATAAATTCGAAAAATCCGAAACACGCGAAAATTTATTATTTATTTAGGGATCGGCCGAACTTTATATAAAAGTTTCCATTTTTGTATATTCAATTTTGTCACATTACACGACCAATTAAATCGAACTTCCACCATGCTTATGCTATCCCATTCATCTGCTGTGACAAGGTTTGACTGTATCAAGAGATTTGTTATATGGAGAAGAATTTTATTATTAAACCTCAATCCATTAGTATCCACTAAATTAAGATACGCATACACTACATTGAAATTCATTGTATAATATAAAATTTAACAAAAAATCCAAGACCTCAAACAAGTCCTCCTCAATCTCGCCAAACAAAAACTCAAAGGCAAATGATATGAATGAAATGTAC